TTCCCCCTTGTCCCAAATAGAACATTCTGTTGAAGCTTTCTTAATTTTTTCTGCCTATTACATATCAGTTGTGAATGTAGTTATTAAATTATTTCATCCATAGGTTACAGACAAACTCTTGATAAAAAATATCTTTTTAAAATTAAGCTTTTGAGTCAATTTCTGTTACTTCATACCAAAGGGTCTTAATTTTTAAAGGTGGTCTCAAGTCCTTGGCTATTCTGAAGTAGAACATCCTTAGCATTTTAATTTTAAAAAGGTCACAATTAGAAAAGCTGCTATTTTCTGACAAAAGTCTACAGGAGTCAGAATTCGTTGGCACATTTTCAGCAGAGTAAATTGAAAATTTTAATCAGGGACTGAAAGTCTGACCATTCCCAAAGAGTAGAAAAGTCAAAGGTGAGAAGACATTCACTTCAGCTGCGCTCTTCATACATCTCTTCACTGAATTAGTAATGATGGGAGAAGATATTACACTCATAAAAGTTTTTTTACAGACTTTACTTAAAATTATTTCTCTATCTGGATCTTCTGAGGGATCCTGCCTAGGGTGAATATTGACTTCAGGGTATGTAAAATCTTCTGAGAGGCTTTGTCTTTGGGATTCTCAGCCCAGGCAACTCATCAATCAGCCAAGCAACAGCTCTTAGGATAAATTATCTCACCCTGTTAGGCTTATGAAACTGTGGTTCATGCCCATGAAGTGTCTGCTCCTGAGACCCCCATCTGGAACAAAGTTCTGTAAGGTAGAGGTCTTACTACAGATACCTGCAGAGCCAGCAAACAATATAAATAAGTGGATCTGACCACTGAAAGACAGTGAGGTGAGGTAAGCTGTGGGGATTGGTCCACATCTACCCTCCTAGCTCCCACCAAGCCAGCAAATCTTCCCATTTCTCAAGAGAAACTGGTTTACTTGTAAGTTTGTTTATTGTAGAGAAGTCAGATGAGCAGAATGGGATTGATCATGCCATCAGCTCCAAACACATGATCTTCATTTGTCCTTTATTTTATTTTATGGAGTTTTATTACCTTCATCCTATATAATCCAATTTCCTACTCCCTCCATAGACTCCCAACCTCAAGAATTTAATATTTGTACTTTCAAACCACCTTCATTATTTGTATTTATACATGTATGTGTGATAATGTCTTTAAAATAACGGACATTACTGTTTCTGTATGTTTACTTGACATAAATAGTGTAGGACTATAAACATTATATTTTAAAGATCTGTCCATGTGGCAAAATGTCCACTTAGTTCATTCCTTGTGACTGCTCTGTAGTCTACATTTAACCTAATTATTCCTTGGTTCTTTGCTGTCACAAGTAATGCTGTGATAAACATTCTCATAAATACCTCCTGTTACACCCTTGTGAGAATTTCCCTCATGTTTATGGTCGATATGGTAATTACTTAATTCCAGTAAGTATTGCTTTATTGCCTTCCAAAGTGACCATAGCAGTCTATGCTCCCACCAGCATTTGATCCCCAACTTCGTAAATTTTTGCTCTTCTATAAACAGTATCTCAGACTTTTAATTTGTATTTCATTGATAATTGTGAGGTTGAATATCTCATTTCTGTATATTTTTTAATCATTGGGTAGCGCTTAATAGTAACATTGGCAATGCTTCTATTGTCTTTTTTTCTTACTTATTAATAGGAATTTATCCTGTTATTCTAGATATTCATTCTTTCTTGGTCCTAAATACTCTATAGCTCTTCTCCCAGACTATCATTTATCCCTAAATTTTGTCTGTGATCTCCTTGACTGTCCTGCATTAAGCACTGGCTAGAAAGCCAAAGTGAACACCTTCGCTGATGCTATTGCCGCTGGGAGTGGCCAGGTAACCACAAATTTTGATAGAATAAATTACATTCACTTTTTCCTTCACAGTTTACGTCTTGAAGGATTTATTTTAAAATCTTTCCATATCCCAAATCACAAAGAACCCTTGCATTTTCTTCCACTAGCTTTATAGTTTTACCTTTCACATTTAATGTCTCAGTCTATCTATTGAAACAACTTAATTTTTTGACCTATTCTATGTTCTACTTATTCTACATTCTATCCAATTTTTCCAACACTATTTATTAAATAATTCTTCTGTTTTCCAAAGATCAAATACCAAGTTTATTGATGTGTATATCTCTTATAATTTCTATTGTTTTGAATAATGTCTTAATCTCAGGCAAGATTTTTTGCTACCTTACTGCTCCTCATTTTCTAAAATAACATAGCGATTTATAGGCCTTTATTCATCTACTTAAATTTGGGAATCAGCTTGTGGAGATGCACACACAAAATAAATTCCCTGGATTTTAATTCAGTAGCCTTAAATATTTAAAATATTAAATTGTCCCATCCGTGAACATCATTTAGCTCTAAAATTTCTCAGGTTTATTTTATATGCTTTATTCATAAAGGCATGATGCATTTAAGTTAATTCCTAGATGCATCATAGATTTTATTACTGCAAGTATTGGGATTAATACTCAAAAGCATTCAAAACCACTTCTTCTCTTGTCTTTACTAAAGACTAGAAACTAAAATACTTAATCTTCAGACCAGTGCAGTAATGAGGCTCTACCCAGTTCTGACCAAAAAGAGAAAATCCCTGTGAAGGGGCTTTCTTTCCCACCCCACTTTCTTCAAAAGCAAAGTCTGATAAGAAGACACCACAATGATATCCACCCAAGACATCAAAGTCCTTTTATTAGTAATCTTTATAATTTTATTTAATATATTTGAGCTATAGTGATAATACTCAGCAAACTCCTAACACTGAGATTTCTTCAAACCAGTTTCTCCAACAAAAGAAATCTCAAAGGAAAGAGGTAGAGGGGAACTTTAGAGATATATCAACCAATAGTGTTGGTTGGATCTTATTTGGATCGCCATTCAAACTTAGAGACTGAAAAAAAAAATGGAAGAAAATTAAGAAAATATGAATATTGGCTATTTGATATCATTAAGGAATTTTTTAGGTGTGATCATGGTATTGTAGTTATTTTTAAGGGTTCTTACATTTTAGAGATTATACAATGAAATATATATGAAATGACAGTGTCTCAGGTGTGTTTCAAAATAAGCTTGAGACCACCTGCTTATAATAATTGAGCTTGGCTGATAGGTGCCCTCGGTTCATTATATGCTCTCTTATGTGTATGTTTGAAACTTTACATAATAAAAAGTTTATTTAAAAAAGAGAATGCTAATTTTTATGTTATTTGTATTTTTTGAGTTACCTCTATTATTTCAAGGGTCATTTTTTGTTTGATAATCATGGTTCTTCTTTTCCAATATGTCAATGCTCCTCAAAACTGTTTGGTGACCTTTGGTTGTCTGCTCATATTATTAATTAACAACTAAACTAATAACTATATGTATCTGACATGAATTTCCTCTGCTCTTGGTGGATCTGTTTATCTCAAATTCTTCTTTAATTAGAGCTAAAGAGTCAATGTAAATGGATAAAGTGGCTGGTGGATAAAGAAGGCTGGTTGTAGCCAGGCTTCAAATAAAAATGAGACTAAACCAAGGAGCATTCACTTTAGTGTATTGCTACCCTGGAAAGAAATGGTCATCCTTTAACTCCACCCCACTCCCATAGTTCCAATGTAGATGTCTGGAATCACCATGAGATTTACTCTCTCCTGTCTGGCCCAAAGCCTGCTGCAGGAGCCCCAGTCATGCACTCTCTTCAAGAAGCAACTGTTGAGTTTTAACCAGGGATAACAGATGACTGAAGTTTGCAGCCATCATGTGAATACATCTTTAATTAAGTACTCTAATTTATGCCCCAGTCCCACTCCTACTTTTCGTATTGGCTTTCTGTAAACTTGGAGCAGCTCTGAAGCTCTGGCTTCCCAGCTCCACTACACATTTTTCTTGTTTCTGGGCTGAGGCCTTTTTTGTTGTGCTTTGTTTGTCAAAAAGAGCCCAGATGCCTTTCTAAATCCCAGGAATCCATATAACATATATTTCCAACTCCTTGTTATCAAAGTTCTTAACAAATTCAACCTCTTGATACTTATTTCTCATCATTCCAAGAGAAGGTAACATGTGCTCTGGGCCCATGAACTTGAACCAGAAGCCATTGTACCTCGAACCAGAAGCCTTGAAGCCTTGAACCAGAAGCATCAGGAAGCAAGGCTTGGGTGCAAGGTAAGACTCCTTTGATGTCATAGAGGTACACTTATGGTGGGGAAGGGAGGAAGAAGGAATGAGGAGGAGGGTATAATTGCCAATAATGAAGTGAGAACCAAAAAGAAGGAATCTCATAATTTTCAGCACAGAGCAGAGTGATCAGCTAGCAGCCAACCATTAACCAATCATTTCTCATCATTACAAAGATCTCTATTTTTGAAATCAGTCCTTTTTTTAACACCAAAGTATTGTTCTCCAACTTCATTGATCGTGCTTAGCACCACAAATCAATAACTCTCAAGGCCAGAAACTATACAAGGCCAGAAAAACTTAGGAAAATAAGTAGTTTGCACTGAGGGTGTTACAAGAAGAGCCCTATTGATTCAGGAAAGATAAAGTCCCCTCATGCAAAACATTAATGTCTCTGCAAAGAGAGTGTCAGGGGCAGGAAGGAGGTTGGAGGTGTTTCCTGTATAGATTCTATAAGAAAAAATAGATGATTGTGTTAGGTAATCTGACTTTGGTAGAAATGAAAGAAACCCCAAATTGAACTGGCTTAGACAAAAAGTTGGAGTTTAGATAAAAGACATAATAGTGTCTCGTGGCAGAACCCAGGGCTGAGCAAAGCCAGGATAGGGATTTGTGAAACTGAACTAACCTTAGTCTGCTACTTGGTGAGTCACAGATAGAAACCACACCAGGTGAGCTGTCACCAAAGGAAACTTTATTGGCAGCAAACAAGGAGATCACGGGGAATAACTTCCAAAGCTGTGACTGCAGGAGCAAGGGTGAGTGGGTTCCTTTTATTTAGGGTTGGGATGACTATTTCCATGGGGAGCCCCGTGATCACGTGTAGAGGCAGGAGTGAGGTGGCGCGTGCACCTTAAGGAAACGTGCCCACACATAACACTGTCTGTGACGTAAATGAGGCTTGAGTTCCTCCTTAGGTGCAGATTTTAGGATGACAGTGAAGTAAAGGTCACTGTTGGTCACTCCTTGGGTCACTCCATAGCCCACCTGCGCAGCCAGGAGAGTCAGGGGTTGAGCTCCATCTGGTCTGGGTGCTGTGGGCCGTCAGAGCTCTTCATCCAAGCAGTAGTGATTGCTTGAGGGCTAGTTCCGGTTTCCGTTCCAGATGCTACACCCGGAGGGTCTTTTGCTGAGTTAAGAGATAAGCTGGAGAGAAGAGCTTAAGAAAAAAATGTGGGGCAAAGGTCGGTGGGGACAAGCAGATGAACAGTGAAGTTCAGATCTTGGGGTCTAGGTGGTGACATTTGGGCCCCAGGACCTTGAAGAGCCTGGGACCGGAAACCAGCACATTACTGCCTCCCACCTCGGGCTCCCACTAAACGCTGACTTATTTTCTCTCTTGATGCTGGCCAGTCTTTTCCACATGATGGAAATCATAGGTGCTCTCTGTTCCAAGCTTTACTATTTGCAGATTGAATCGACACCAAAGAAACATGCTCTATCTCCAAAGGCTGGATCAGCAGTGTGGCCTGCATTTTTTAAAAATCTCATTAACTCTGAGAGTGTTGCCTCTTCTTCCCAAAGGTTTCAATGTATGAAATCATATTCTCTCCAGGTAATGAGTTTTATCTCCTCTTTTCAGTACTTAGCTTTATTACTAGCTTATACATCAATGCTTCACCGATGGATGTTTAACAACTGATTTTCAAAAAAAAGAAAAAAGATAAATATTGTAATATTTACCAGCTTACTAGTATAAATACTTTCACCATGGCCCATTTAAAGCTACCAACATGATGTCACTGAACCCAGAGTTGGGAAGAGATGTGCACGATCTGCTCTCTAGAGCCCGCACGAGCAGCACTTAGCACAGTGCTGCTTATAATTTATTTATGTGACCTCTATTTAGATAACAGTGTAAAATAGCAGTGATTGCAGTCAGCAGCCTTCTCGTGTTCCTGATTCTTTAGAATCCAGGAGTAAATAGCTTGCATCCCTCGTGCTACGTTTAATTAAATATTAGTGGGCCCTTAGAGCTCTATGTCTAGACTTAGAGGGAGTGTCACCATCAGTTAGAGATGTGGCCAATAACTAGGGAGGAGGCCACGGCCATGCCTCACGGCTGTCAGTTTAAACTACAGTCTCTGAACCCAACTATTCGGATCCGGAGCCTATGTTTACCCTCTTTGGCTATATACCACTATGGAGAATGGCAACTTAATAATTAGGCTACTTACTTAACCTCCTTTTGCCCCAGTTTCCTAATTATTAAAATAGAGGTGTTAGAATATACACCCCATATGACTTCTGTGAGGATTAAATGAAATAATTCATGCCTGGCACACAATAAGTGTGCAATAAATGTTTTGACATCGTTTTCGTCATTTGTCTTTTTCTCTTTAATGCTATGTTCACCACAGTGTTGTTTAATATGGTCCGCATGACATTTTTCAATCATCTTTCTTGCCCTTGTTTTCTAAGTTCTTTTTGAAAAATAAAGAATAGCTCTTGAATTTTGTCACTTGCCCTTTCAGTGCCTATTGTTTGGTTTTTCTTATGGATCAAAGAAAGAACTTTCTGCTAATCGGCATAAGCCAATAAATATCACTTTCATCTGTCTACCTCAGGTCCCCTTTCTCCACAGGGCCTGGCCCGCTTGCAGCCCAGCACACTCCCTCATGTAAGGCCCGCTACCCTCAGCAGCTCTCGGCTGGCCACTTGCCCACTAGCTCCTTGACGGCCCCTGCCTCTTACCCTCCACAGAAGCCCCCTTGCCATCAACACAAAATACCATCTTGATCAAAGCTTGCTGCCTCAATTTACAATTAAGGAAAAAAATTAAGAAAACAAAAACCCAAGCCCTTAGAATATTTTGAAGGGGGAGCAGTACTATTTGAAACTACAGCTGGCTGAAGAATCGTCTCCTTCCCCCCTAAAAAGGAGAGACAAAGAGACCTAATTTACTCAGCATAAAATGTAAGAATCTGAGTTTTCCGCAAGTTGAGTTTTCTGAATTTCCTGGAAGCAGCCCAGGAAGGCAGGCAGGAGGACAGGCCCTCTGTCTGTATGGGCAGCTGGGCAGCTGAGGCAGGAGCAATGCCCACAGGCTGGGGACCATGACCTCGAATCGAGGTCAGCTAGAATGGCTAGGAAGGTTTTACAAAACCTGAATATCTAATAACCAGGATTTGGCTGTAGGATTCTTCCTCCTAAAAACAGAAACCTGCTACACTCATAGCATTATGTTCAGAGTACCACAGAGACAGAAGTGCACATGCTCAGTAGGGTTTCAGCGTTGTCTTCTGGTTGATCAGGACAGAACAGACACACTGGCCCCCAGCAGAGGAACTAATGCTATAGCAAAGGAGCCATCACTAACCAGAAAAACGCAGCATCGGGGAATGTTCCCACACAGTGGAGCTGAGGGCTGACAGAAATTCCGGCCTATGGAGAAGACCCGGTGTCCTGGAGGATTCTGTGAGTGGAGACCCAGCAGAGCCCTGGAGTCCATTCCTCTCTTCTGCCTCCCAGCAAAGGCAGAGATGAGGCAGGCACCACGAGGTCACAGGACATGTGGGTGAATATTTTGGGGTCATCAAATATGACAGATCTTGTTTAGATCATTGGAGCGGAAAAGGAGGGAGATAGAGGTGATAACAGAGAGAGTCACATCACTAAGAACCACTGAAGTCGATGACACGGTTTCAGACTTCCCTCTACAAGAATACTCTGCCATTTGATGAGAAATGCCACCTTTCTAAATTTGTCCACATTAGTGTCTTTGTTACTCAGTAGGGAAATTCCATCTCTTTCTGTTATAGCAACTACTCCATGGTGCATTGAAATCAAAACTGTGCTGGCATGAGAGAATATGGGTGTTTATGAAAAACCTAAACAGATGGGACAAGTCACTATATTTTTGAGACTCTGCTGTACTTTGTGAAGCTCAGACTTCATTGGTCCATCATCTCTACCATCTTCATCAAAACAAAACAAAACAAAGAACATGAGCTCAAATGGACCTCCAGTCATTATAAAAAGCACAAGTAAATTTGTTTTAAAAATATATGGCAATCATCGGGGAGAGTTTATGTAGTTAGTCTTCCTCAATTTGTAACATTAAGGAGATATAACTTATTTTGAACTTAAAAATTCTTAACAATAAGCATTTGTGCCCTTGAGTAGAATAAATGGCAAAATCTACTTCTGATTTCCTTTTTTTAAATATTTTATTATTATTTTTTTAAGTAGGTTCCACACCCAACTTGGGGCTTGAACTCATGACCCTAAGATCAAGGGTCACATGCTCTACCAACTGAGCCAGCCAGGCACACCTCTACTTGTGATTTCTGAAACCTGTATTTAGTTTTTTCTCAAGAACAATTAGACTTATTAAGTGCTACATCTGAAGAAGAAAAAATTCTAAGTTTAATGCACAATAAAATGTATGAATAAGTAAATAAATTGCTTAAGTAATAACAGTAAAGATCTTTCAGAACTGCTTGTAATAATTGGCTTTCCAGGACTCTGGTCCATTTTAATCAGGGGAAAGAAAGATGTCAGGTCTATTCTTTTGGTTCATCATCTTGATTAAATATTGCCTGACAGAAACAGTGGGTAGACACACCTTTAAAATGATCTGTATAAATTAGTTTAAAATTCCTCAGGCTGTCTGGAGTATCTGTATCTGAGCCTGGACTATTAACAAGCCACAGGCCTCCACCTTTTCTGCCTTCTTTTGAGGACCCTCCACTCAGACCAAGTTTTAAAAACATCAACATCTTTTATTGTGGTTGCCAGAAGGGAGGCAGGTGGGGGATGGGTGAAATAGGTGATGGGGATGAAGAGTACACTCATCATGATGAGCACTGAGTAACGTATAAAATTGTTGAATCACCTGAAACTAATATAACACTGTGTTAATTACACTTAATAAAAAATTTTTTAAAATAAGGATATCGGCATCTTTTATGATAAACCTGCACCCTGTTATGCTTACAAGCCTAGCTCAGGATTTCCAGCACTGTCCCCCACTGAGCTTCCTCCTTTGGCCACAATTTGGATTTTCTAAGCTTGGTAAAGTGAAGCATCTGCATCTTTTTTCTCTAAGAATCTATTACCGGCTTCCTGCTTTGCTTTTTTTAAGATTTATTTATTTATTTTGGTGGGGGGGATGAGCAGAGAGAGAGGGAGAGAATTCTCAAGCAGACTATCCACGGAGCACAGAGCTTCCCGCGGGGCGTGGGGATCCATCTCACCACCTTGAGATCATGACCTGAGCCTAAAGTAAGAGTTGGCCGCTCAAGCAACCCAGCCACCCAGGTGCCCCCTGCTTTGTTTATTATAGCCAGCAACCTGTACTTGAAAAATAAAGTTATTTCTTCCTTGAAAGATGCAGAGCATGAGGTCAGTCTGTTTCCACTGATATTTTGTGGTCATCAGACATGCCGGCAGTTCTCCGATGGCGGTTGTGGGGTCATGCATATTGACTAAAGATTTCCCAGAAAAACTTAAAGAAATGTTAACACTCAGAAGCCTGATGGAGAACTGTTCTCACAAAATTGATTAGGTCAATCCGCCCAGCATAGGAACTCATTATCCAAGTCCTGGGAAAAAAACATTTAAATAAATCTCCTTAAATACCCTCAAGTGAAAAAAAAAACAAGGTCCAAAACAATGTACATACTAAATGAACATTTAGGTAAAATATGTACATACACACATAGAATCCCTCTGGAGGAATCCCCAAGCAAAGTGGGTTGTTTTGGAGGAGAATGAGGTAAATGGGGCAAGAGTGCCATGACACAGTTCCACTATGTGCCTTTCTGAATATTACACCGCATGCATTTATTTTTTAAAATTTTTTTTTAAAAATAAATTTTTTATTTTTTATTTAAAAAATTTTTTTATTTTTTATTTATTTAAAAAATAGATTTTTTAAAATCTACCAAGTATCAGAATGTGAAAAATACCTCTGATGGATGTAAATCTGGAAACCGCAACTTAAAAATCACTGGTGCCCTGAAAACAAGCCACACCTTGGTGACTGTGGCAGGCTCCGCAGGTGCCCCACGCGGGCTTTGGAGTGGTCATAGCGGCTGGGGCTAGGGCTCAGGAGGTGAGGAAGGACCTGCTTGCTTTCTTAAGCACTAACAAAATGACTGGTAAAAAAGCACCTGCCTGTTTTTAGGTTGGAAACCTTGATACAGAAAGCACAGGGACTCTGAAATGCAGGCAAATAAATCTTGGACCAGGATAACTGGAGCTACTTGAAGGGAAACTCACAAAGCTGAGTCAAAAGGGAGAATGGCTGATGTGGACTGAATATTTGATATCAATGAATCATTAATTTTTTATGTGTTATAATCATATCATAGTTACAATCAATCATAATTACAGCTTCTTAAGTGTTTTTCATTTAGAGATATTTATTGATAGGTGAGATTTGCTCGTAAATAATCCAATGCAGAGGACTGGCATTTGTTGAGAATTGAAACCCAGTGTGGATCCATTATACTATTCTCTGTTTCTGTACATGTTTGGAATTGTCTATCAAGTGAGAAAGCTGAGGCACACTTTGCACATTGTCTTTTAGGGCAGGCGGTGAGCATACGGAATCCTGGAAGACCCACCAAAGTTCTAACGGCCGGAGCCAGGGAAGACGATACAAAATAAAAGGAGCATTTGGGGCTGCTCTATGGGTCTCCAGAAAGGCGTGTGGGGAAGGGAGTCGTCTAGAAAATACCCAAGAATCAACCCCATGCCACAGCAATGTTGGCACGCCAGAAAATGGACTGGGAATAAGTCCAACTGCAAAGAGAACACAAACCATAACAGGGGCTTAAAACAAAAGGCTGTTTATGTTTGCATCACATCGATGAAGTCGGAGGGGCGTGGTCCAAGGCCGGCAGAGTGTCTCTGCACCTTCAGGGCTCCCCGCCTCTCAGGCCCTGAAGCAGCCCCTTGTCCTTATGGTCCATCAGGCAGAGCAGCATCTGCATTTGAAGCAACAGGATGGAGGAAAAGACCGAAAAGTGGCCCGAGAGAGCCTGCTGGTTCTTAGGGAAGGTTCTTAGAAGCTTGTCATAGTGAAGTCTGAAACCAGGCTGCATGTAGCACCTAAATACACATCTCGGCAGAATCTGCCACATATGAAAAACAAAACAACAGCTTTTGCCAAACTCTAAGCCGATATTTATAGGTTGTCCAAAGACAGTAACCTCTTTAGAAACAGATTATACCCTTTTTCCTGGATGCTTTTTACAGAAAAAAAAAAAAAAGGGAGGGGGGCACAGCAAGACTTTAACAAAAGCTTTTTTCTTATACAGGGTTCTAAAACCAAATATTAAGAACACAGACTGAGGCCATTACAGTGAGCAGTCGTTTTTATATACTTTTGGGTATTATCAGGGTATCAGAATTGATGGTGGAGGGGCTCCTGGGTCGCTCAGTCAGTTAAGCATCTGCCTTCAGCTCTCAGGTCATGATCCCAGGGTCCTGGGATCAAGCCCCGCATCGGGCTCCCTGCTCAGCAGGAAGCCTGCTTCTCCCTCTCCCACTCCCCCTGCTTGTGTTCCCTCTCTCGCTATCTCTCGCTCTGTCAAATAAATAAATAAAAATCTTAAAAAAAAAAAAAGAACTGATGGCGGAAATCTTGTGATAAATGTGGGGGCGGAGTGGTGGAGGCTAGTAGGCAAGAATGTCCATAGGCTGTGTGAGTTTTGTTAATACACTAATCTAATCCCAGCTAAGACCACCCAACCTCCCTCTCTCCTCCCTCTCTTTTCCTTCATTGCTCTAGAGTTTTTTTGTTGTCTGTTTGTTTCAATGCAGGAGTTAAAATTAAAATTAAATTTAAATTTAAAAGGAAATCATTTTAAACTAATTAATAAATTATATTGTAATCGGTTGGATGATTAATTTTATGCAGGAATTAAAATCAAAATGCACTGTGTCTTCTAGTCCACTGGCTTTGAAGTGTGGTCCCCACCAATATCACTTGGGAACTTACTACAGATGCAAATTCTTGGGTGCCACCCAGATCTTCTGAATTCATCCAAGGGATTCTGATGCACAATAAGGTTTTCTTTTTTAAAGATTTATTTCTTGCAGAGAGAGAGAGCGCAAGCCTGTGTTCACGCACACATGAACCGAAGCAGGGGCAGGAGGGGGGATGCGCAGGGGGACAGGGAGACAAGCAGACCCAGACTCCCCACTGAGCCTGGAGCCTGACACAGGACTTGATCCCAGGACCCTGAAATCATGACCCGAGCCCAAATCAAGAGTCAGAGGCTTCACTGACTGAGCCACCCCGGCACCCCATGATGCACAATAAAGTTTTGGAACTGAAGCTCTAGTCCAGCTATTCTCCACTCTGGCTCCACATTGCAATCACTGAGAAAACTTGAAAAAGTACCGCTGTCTGGATCCCTTCCCCAGAGACTCTGGTTTGATTGGTTTGGGATGTGGTTTTGGGCATGGGAGTTTTTGAAAGTTCCCCGTGTGACTATAAGAAGATGAGACTGAGAACCATTGCTCCAGCCTGCTTAGGTCATCTGGGCCTTTATAGCCAAATAAAGCCACTCAAAGCAACTACATTCTAGGAGTTGTGGGAAATTAATCTCTCTCTCCCAAATAAAGATGTCGAGAGTAGTTTTTCTCTCTCCCCTCATACGCTCCCTTTGAGCCAGGTCAGGAGGACGGAGTTGCCCAGACTCTGTTAGCCCTAGTGGGAGTCCCACCAGATCTCATCTTCCTCCTGCTGTGGCTTTTCTAGTTCTCCCTCCCCACCCAGCCTGGAGTTCGGATCAGTTATATCAAATGAGTCAGACTGGGAGAGGTATGTAATGGGTTTAGTCCAAGAATTTGGTGGTGGAGAGAAGATTGTGTATAGATATGTGGGGGGGGGGGCAGGGACAGATGTGAACGAGAGCAGGGGTTGTGATGCCAGCAAAGTTTCTGTAGGGAGGCATTTTATTAAGGATGGGTTGAGGCCTGGGAAGCTGTAAGTTGTGGAGGACTGTTGGAGGGGAGGTGGGAAGGGTGCAAATAATTAGTATTATCCTATGATGCTAATTCGGATTTAGAATTCTAATGTAGTCCCATACTGCTATTGCTTTTTGAGGCAACCAGAGTTCTGTTCCCCAAACTCCACCTCTATCACCAGGACCATTAAAACCTTTCTGCATACATCCATATCCACACTGCAGTTTTCAAGACTGGGTGGGGGGGTGGGTGGAGGAGCAGTTAGCTGGGGAGTGGGAAGACAGAAGGAAGTAACTTACACAGATGGGTGAGGGGGATGGGCACACCATGGTTCTTTCTTCTAACAACCCTACGTAATAACAAACGATCATTTTATTACTAAGACTAGTTAAAATGCAGTACCTCTTCCTAAATATGCCTATACCTGTTCATCAAGTGTTTTATTTTATTTTAAAGATTTATTTGTTTATTTGAGAGAGAGAGAGAACACAGGAGGGGCAGAGAGAGAAGGAAAGAAGCAGACTCCCCGCTGAGTGGGAAGCCCAACAAAAGGCTGAATCCCAGAACCCTGAGATCATGACCTGAGCTGAAACCAAGAGTCCAATGCTTAACCAACTGAGCCACTCAGGTGCCCCTATTCATGAAGTATATTAAAAACAAGGATTACAAAGATGTTTCAGACATGATAGGGAGTATGTTAAATAAATAGCCAGTCTCACACTTAACCAACAGTAATAGATGATGCCGCAAATTGGCAATAAATAGCATCTTCTAGGGCACCTGGGTGGCTCAGTCAGTTAAGTGTCTGCCTTTGGCTCAGGTCATGATCCCAGGGTCCTTGGGATGGAGCCCCACATCAGGCTCTCTGCTCAGTGGGGAGTCTGCTTCTCCCTCTCCCTCTGCCCCTCCCCTCACCCCCACTCATGCTTGAGCTCTTTCTCTCTCTCTCTCTGAAACAAATAAAATCTTAAAAAAATATTAGCACATTCTATAAGCAAGACCCAGAGCTAAACGGTCAGTGTGAATGATCGCCTTTAATCCTCACAACAATCCTAAAGGTCGGGCTTCTGTGTTTTTAACCTATTTTTTCATTGTAGTTGACAAATGGTGTTAGATTCGTTTCAGGCATGGAGAGGAGTGAAGAGGGAGGGCGGCTCAGAGAATTCATTCTAACTGACCCATTTAGTCTTTGCAGGACTTAAGACAGGAATGGTCTGACTATGGGTGTTTTTTTTTTAAGATTTTATTTATTTATTTGACACAGAGTGAGACAGCGAGAGAGGGAACACAAGAAGAGGGAGTGGGAGAGGGAGAAGCAGGCTTCCCGCTGAGCAAGGAGCCTGATGCGGGGCTTGATCCCAGGACCCTGGGACCATGACCTGAGCCGAAGGCAGACGCTTAACCAAACTGAGCCACCCAGGCGCCCCGGTCTGACTATGGTTTAAGAGAACCATCCTGGTGCCTGTGTGGGAAGTGCACTCTGGGAAGGCAACGGTGGAGCGAGGACTTGACGGAGCTGTCACACTGGCCCAGACGGGATGGGCGAGAGAATTGCATTAGGTCTGTAGTGACAGAAATGCTAAAGAAGTTGGAAGTGTGTGATATTTTGCGTAGGGTAAATACCGATTGACAACAGAATGAGCTTGTGACCCAGTCCCCATCAAGGTTTCCCCTGGGCCACAATATTCAATCAGACAGGAGAAAGGAACCAGGCCAATCATCGGCCACTGGCATTTTCCCCTAATGATTGATGAACCAAAAAAAAATCATCTGGATCCTTCAGCTGGGATGAAGGGAAGCTTGGAACTTAAACCGCCTGAGGACGAGATAGAAAGTTCCTTGAAGCAAACAGATCTTGAGAGAACCTGAAATATGCCACTATAACACAAGCTGTCACGTCCAGTCCAAAGGAAATTGGGGCTGCCCTTTCTTTGGCATTTTGAGACACAAGAAGGGGTCTGGAAGCTTAAGGCCCACCCCAGATGTTCAAACTGCAGCTCTCAACCTGTTGGCAAGTTGTAAATCAAAAGTGTGTGAGCCCAGCATTTTTCTCCTAATAAAATATAATAGAAGAGAAAATTATAGTATCTTGCTCATCCTAAGTACTGCTTCAGGAAACTTTTGTTTCCACATTAGCAGGATCTGTTAAGGTAGATCAGGGTGGATGCAGCCTCCACGTTACAGTAGGGGAAGGAGGCCCCTGAAATAAAATCATAGGGATCAAAAGGAAATATGGGGGAAAAAATACCAAAATCGGTTATTCCCCCACCCCAGTGGAGTTGGAAAGAAACAGGAGATGACAATTCTGAGTTTCTTTGGAATTGAGGTCAAAAGCAGATTCCTGAACATGTCCCAACACAACCCTTCCAAAGCAGATGTCACCTCAGAACTGGCTGACTCAGTAAATTAGGGGAAAAAAACACAATCCTAAAGGACCTGAATGGTTTGAAAAGGAGCCATGCTGAGCACATGAGACTCCGTAGGGGAAAGTGCAGTCTGAGACTAAGGGCATGCGGGGGAGGGGGGGTACAAGCTTCAGCGGGAACACGAGAGGAGGACCAAACAGAACTAAACAGGAATACATCAAATATTTCAGAGATTTAATTGCAAAAAATCTAAAATTCTAACAGTAAAAAATAAATTCAAAAGGAACCTGGAGAACAGTTTTTGGTGAGCATCTATTTACGAGTTAACGTGGTCGGTAAGAATTCCTACAAATCAAAACTCAGCGGCAGTGGCCTGAGGCTGGGAGATCTTCTTTGGGGTCAGAAAGCAGGGTTTTGCATGCACAACTGCACCTGGTAGGTGGGCGGATGGGGGTCCAGTCTTCTCAACAGTCATTTCCCTCATTACATAACTGATTCCAGAAGGTTCAGAATGTTAGCAGCTTGACATTCTCTGAGCCTGTTGGCACCTTCGTGCCTGCCATACACAGCATGCTCCTTTGACAACCACACAAAAGGCCAATCAATGATTGAAATGGGCAAAGGACAATTCCCATTAGAACAAACATGAATCACAATTATAGCTATCTCTAAGTTCTGTCTTTCAGCTGTGTTTGGGAGAAATAAAAATGAGAAACATTGTTCTTTCCCAGTACTTTTGTCTCTCACTGAAACTTCATGTCAAAATATCTCACACTGACCGTTGCATTCTTTTCCCCCAGATAGCTATCATTATTAGGAATTATATCATAGAAAAAGCATGAAATAATGAAAAAGACATTGTTTCTACCCACAAAATGTTTTATTTAACTTACAATCTAAAATTCCCCATTTGTATTTAGTACAAAATAAATGCACAGCACTGTCTCTGATCACCACAACTATTTGGCTGAGAAATATAATTATCCCCACTTGAAGACTAGGAAAACTGAGACTTAGAGCACTTAATAACATCCCCTAAAACCCCGTAGTTCTTCAGCTACAAAGTCTACAAAATATAGCCTAAAAATTGGTTAGTTGCCAAATCTACAAAATCTATTTTTAAAAATCTTTCTAGTATAGCACATTTTCTCTCTCTAGGTCATTCTGACCTTTTCATTCACCTCCGAGAAAGCTTCTAGGAAGTGCTGAGTTTCTCATGAGCAGATTTTCAGGGAGGCACCCCTGTCACCTTCTCTAGGCAACTCAGGACAGAAGAACGGACGCAAAGGCTCCAAACATGAGAGATGACTGTGTGTATAGATGAGGACGTTATCTCTAACATCAAAAAACTTGATTTCTTCCATCTCAACATCTAAAAATATCCCTACGTGGCTAAGTTCAGGGCTTGCAGGAATTCTGGTGTCCGGGATGGAGTTGATGCAGATTGTTCCTGCCTTCATGCTGATAAACCAGAAGCCATGCTCAGCAGAGAAACCACCTTTCCTCTTTCTGTTGACTGACTCCTTGCAGATCCCTAGAGTCCACTCCTTCCCCTCCCCCACCTCGACCTCCCAGTAATGGCAGCCAGTGGAGAAGCATGGGGTGCCCAAGACACAGGTCAGGTAGGTGAATCTCTGGGGATCCTCCACTGGGTTGTGGCAGATCTTCCCACACCAAACATTCCTTAGGTCATCAGAGAGGACAAGGAAGGGGTTAGCAGTGCTTGCATCCAGAGTCATAACCTCCTGGAACCTCAGCAACTCTTTGTTCACATGCAGACTTTTCACCAGTAGGCCACTGTGCTGTCTGACCAGAAGGGATAGTGCTCCGATTTGCCATTCCTCCAAAGGGGGGCTCTCCGTTACCCCTCGACACATAGGGCAGGTCAATTTCAGGTCCCGGTGTTCTAGCAGCCATGTTTGCATGCAATGAAAGCAGAAAACGTGTTCACAGGAGAGTAAAATGGGACAGAAGAAAATTTCCAGACAAACTGGACAGGTCACCTCCTCTTGCAGACTTTGGGCCATGGTCCCCAAAGGTCACTCCTTGACAGTGAACTGAGCGGAAGCTGCCCTTTATAAGCTTCTGAAAGTGATTGGGAGCATTCCATACACAATCTGTTCAATAATCATGATACAAAAATGAAATAATATAAATCTTTCTGTAGTTTATACAGGAAAGTGGCACAAAGTCACCAGAGAATTATAGTAAAAGCACTACCTGCGAGAAAAATTATCAAAAACTATACAAAATCTAGGTGAGCACAAACAAGAGAAACAGGACAGTGGACATTGTGTTCTCAGGTGGAGCAGTTTACCTTGTGTGGAGGCACCCAGATGAGGTCTTCTCTGCTAGGACCACAGCTTCTTTTTCTGGGAGCTGAGTCCAACGAGGTCTTTCATAGGATCTCAGAGTGCAGTCTCTGCCTCTAATCAGTATTCTTTTGTAGGTAACCTGCAGTCCAAGAAAAAGAATCTCCACATCTAAATGCAACCATAAAAATAAAGCCAATCTGACTCTGTCACAGAAAAGTGACTCTAAGAAGCCCTGTGTATTTTCGAAGAAAACGACCATACGTGAGTCAAACTAGCAAAAACCACTGCAAAATGAATGAGATACCCATTATAGAATCACTTTTCAGGACAAAGTATCATTCAGATGAAATGCTTTCAAGCACTCTGAGAAAAGTAGGAAGGCTTGAGTGAATGTGAATAAAAATATAACCATTGTCACCAACTTCTCTAAAATAATGTCTGAACACAAGCCAAAAAGGTGTTCTGACAAGGAAGATGTTACAGCCACTACCCCAACTGCTCTCTCCTCCCGAAGCTTACTCCTAGAGATGCCTTCTGGGCCTTCCTACAGAGGTTGCACACTTTGGGTAAACTACTTCTGGCATGCTAGGCCTGGCTGATTGGAACAAGCTGGGCTCCTAACCCAAAGACAGCCATTTCAGGCTAGTCGGTGCCCAGGAGATGATGTGAACTGAGGATGCTTCTTGAGAAAGGGCCAATACTGAACAATAACTAACAGAACTTCTTACTAAGAATTCACATTCAATTGTGGCTGAAGTAACAGAATCCAAGACAGAAAGATAAGCTGTGTCAACATCACCACGGAGGGGTAGAGTAGGAAGGAATGGGCACTCCTGAGGCTAGCCCAGAAAAACTAGGTTACTAGAACATCCTGGAACACATTCCCTCATCTCCATCCAACAAATACTTATGAAGAGCTTCCCATGATCCCACCCTCAGCTAGACTCTGGGGATACAGATGTATGTTAACAACAGACAAGGTATCTGCCCACAAGGAACTTGGAGTCTTGGGAAGCCTTCCCGTTCCTGAATGCATTCCAGTCTGATGGGGCCTGGCTGAGTAACAAGAAGTAACATTCTTCCTTAAATCCCCTGTTACCCTTTCCAAAAACCTGACTTTTTAAGACATACTTGAATATGGTGCTTAACAGTCTAAAAGGTCTTACCCAACCCACCTTGGAATAGATGTAAGAAAAAATTTTACAAAAGAAAAAAACGCTACATTTGTAAAAAGTTGTCCTTTTCAGTGTAATCTATGACCCCAAATTTCAGAAACAATCTAATTATAGAAAGATAATCAAATGATTCCGTTAATTATAATACAGCTATTAAAAGTAGTATTTCTTAAATTCCACATATGAGTGAAATCATATGGTATTTGTCTCTCTCTGACTTATTTCACTTAGCATAATACACTCTAGCTCCAGCCACATCATTGCAAATGGCAACAAAACAAATGAACATGGGGGTGGGGAGGGGAGGCAAACCAAGAAATAGACTCTCAACTATAGAGAACAAACTGATGGTTACCAGAGGGGAGGAAGGTGAGGGATTTCACCCATGGGGATTAAGGAGGGCACTTGTTGTGACCAGCCCTGGGTGTTTTATGTAAATGTTGAATCACTAAATTCTACACCTGAAACTAATATTATACCATATGTTAACTAACTTGAATTTAAATAAAAATTTAAAGAAAGAAAAAAAAAGTGGTAAGTATATTTAAGCAAAAACCCAGAAACATCTTTAAGAAATCATGTTAGAAAATAAGGAACCATTTTAAAACATATACGTTGTAGTTGAAAATACCTAAAAATACATGTATGCAAAAAAATTAATAAAAACACCTGAAGTTCATATGTAAAAAATTTAACTGGCAATGTTAGAGTAGAAGGTGGAAAAAGTTCCCTGACACAGGATAAGACTGACTCTCTCCTGAAATCCAGAGATAAAAGTATTTAAAAGATAAGTTGTAGCCAAAGAGAGAGAAATGGGACAGTGGAAATAGCCCAGACAGAAGAGAGCACTTACACTATTACACTAATTTGGAAAATTCCAGCAGTCCTGAAGATCCAAAGCCCATATACCTCTATCTCTCCTAGGCTTGACTTCTGTTTGAAGTTGAGTTTGAGTGCAGATGGTCTGGCCTTATATAGTCCTGTGACACAGTCGCCGCCCAAAAGGAGGGTCATTGTCTCCGCCCCAGTGATTGGATTATCTCAGTCTAACCAAGTAAACTGAAGCAACCCTACTCCTCCACGCAGGAGGATGACGTAAAGTCACACCCAAAATCTTCTAACAGTTACTCTCTTTGAGTTAAACTATCGAACCTATGGCCATCCGAACGAGATTCTCTAATTTCAGAACTCAACTTTAAAAAGCAAGATGTTTTAGAGATCCAATATAGAAATGCACTGCTGAAATCTCCTGAAGTCTTTGTTAATGTAATCATTGGTATTATCTCTGAAACAATTTTGAGTGAACAGGGTCTAGAACAGTTTTCTTACCCTTGGACTCAGTAATTCTACTCTTGGGGGACAGTTACCAACAGGATGAGAAAGCAGTCAGGTAAGCCTGTTGTCCTGCCATGATTATTAATAACATCCCCTTTTACTTTCAAAATCATCCCGGTTTAAATGATAAATTAGATATTGTTTATATTAGAAGTAGAAGGAGCAGTAAAATCATAATGAAAGAGAACTATGACACAATCATCAAAACAGGGGAGTTGGAGGGTCAGTGAATTCCTGTTGCTGAGAGAAAGCAAGAATAAACCCTACCCCTGAGATGCACACATTCTGAATAACCTCCCATTGCTCAGGGGTCCTGCTCTTACTGCAAAGCCAACTGAACAGTTTTCTCTCTACTTTTATCTGGTTACTGTTTCCATTTCCATGAGATAAATATCTACAGCAAGGGATCTCAAGTTAAAAAAAAAATTAATCTCAAGCCCCTTTCCACTCTTAAACATAACTGAAAACCCCCCAAAGTTTTCCGTTTATGAGAATTATACTTCTCCGTGTTTACAGTATTACAAATTAAAACTGAGCACGATTCTGAGGATTTATTTGACACATTTAAAATAACCAAACTATTATATGTTAACATCAATAACATCGTTTTCTAAACAATAACTATTTTCCAAAACAACAACCAAAAAATACAATCAGTGAGGAGAGTGTCCTGAGTTTGCGTGTTTGAAAAACCTCTGTAATTCCCAATCAACACATACAGCTGCATTCTCACACATGCTTCTGCTGGTTCTATCGCGATATGTTGTTTTGGTGGAACTCTGTAAAGAAACGCTGGCTTCCCACAGATATTTAATAGGATAAGGGAAGTCCACTGCTTTCCAACAAATTTTGTAACTCTACATGGCAGCTCCAAATCTTAGTTTCTCGGCAACCGAAGCCCCCACGATGAACCCAACCATCTTTTTTTGTGTGGCTTCTGCAGTCTCAGAACTAATTCAGATGATGTGGCTAAATATGAAACCTTTTTCTTCTTTCCTGCCCCATCATAATGAGGATCTTTTTGATTTTTCTATTTAAATTATTTAACTGCAATAATGATACCAAGTCAGGTTGTTCTCTATCACTAACATCTACCAGGCCCTCCACAGGCGTTTATCACAAAAAGCATCATTGTTCACTGATTTTACATTTTTCAGACGGTTCTGACTGTGACTTGAACATTCATGGACTCGTTGCTGTTGCTGAGCCTTTATCTGCCAGGAGAAATAATTCTTCCCCGGAAATACTTTAATTCCCAGGTTCCTCATTACTACCATAATGCTGAATTTACTGAGAAATGTCATTTTTTTGTTTTCAAGTGCTGAAAATTCTTGGAGCCATTTATCCGTAAGATCTTAGTACTCTCGTGACAACATATCAAAAATGTGCGTGAATTTTTTTAAGTTTTAGAGTCATTTTTAATTATCGTTAGTGCTTCCATGAGTTAAGATTAAATCACAAAATAAGCTTGTTTCCATAGTACCCTGATTAAAAAAGAAATCGACTTTCACACATGCTAGTTCGATAAGATGCAGCCGCTGGTGCAGCGGAGGGGTGGGGGGTAGGAGCGAGGCACAGTCAGCCCTATCAGGAATCTAAGATCCCTGCAAGGAGATGATGAGATGATGTGTTTGCTCAAAACACAGTTTGTATTTTTCAAAAGGGAGCAGCTACAGTGGGGCGGCTTTTCACAGTGAGCTCCCATCCGCTGCTGTGGAGCTTTCACTGATTTGCAACCTCCTCTTGTCATCAAACCTCATCCTAACCTGCTCTTGGCTGCCTCGTTCTATTAAGGTGGACCCACCTGTCAAAATGGCAGAAGATGGAGGGCACCTCTCTGAATGATTCGTGCCACCAAAATCTGCTAATAGAGTTCCCACACTCTCCCCTTCCAAAGGATCCTATTTTGCAGACCTGGCAAACTCCACAAAAAAATACTTTCAGCACTTTAGAATCCAGGTTTCCCCCACTATCCAAAGTAGAACGTTCTTGTGAAAACTTCCCGAAGTCGAAATGGTGTAAAGTGAAGAAGCAATGCCCATTAATTTAGATGAAAAATTTTTTGAGTATCCCCAGACTCAAAAAATAACCTCTTCGGCATTTCTGATACCTTAGGATACATGTTGCTAAAGGAGGCACAAAATAAAGCAGGACAAAGCACAGGTGCTCGCAGACACCTGTCAAAGCGCTGGGGGCTGGATG